TGTTCACCTGTTCCCCCTCAGCCAGCCTGAGCCTCGGGTCGTACTGGCCTGTGGGGAATAACTGAGGTGGAACTCCAGGCTGTAGAACAATGAAGTGTAACCCCAGGATCCCAGAGATCCTTCTAGGGTGAGCCACCAGTAGTGAGGGTACCTGGTGTCCTGTCATGTAGCGGAATCTGAAGAAATCGTGATTCTTTAGGATTCTTTTATCAGAGACACGAGACATCTTCCCGGGAGTTTTGTGCGACTCCTCACGCTGGGGAGGCTCATTTCCAGCTCTCTGTAACAGACTGAATACACAAGAGCTGCTTAGTGACACACAGCAAAAAACAATTTTATATAACCCACACAGAACTGTTGTATGTTCAAGTGAGCAGGATGGGAGTATCCTCCCCCTATGCCACGGGGCTGCCGCGGCACTGGGAGCCATCCGGGGCTGTGCAGACCCAAAGGTGCTGATGCCCGGGGCCTCGGTGCTCACCTGGGCACTGTGGCCTCTCACAGCCTGGCTGCTCCTCACCTGGGGGAGCTGGCAAGGAAAATCCCTGATTTCTCCAGGAAGTGCATACATTGCAGTTCCTCGGGTGCCTGGCCAGATTCCTCCTGTGCATGTCAGGTTCACCTGAGTGATGCCCAGGAGTAAGTGGGAAGAGGGGAGAGGCTGTGCCACGCGGTTATTCTGAGGCACACGGGCTGTTTTGTCCTGAGCTGTCTTTTCCCTGCCCGCTGTGTTTTCCAGGCTGCCTCACCACAAGTGCAAGCGCTGACCTCACTGTTCCCATCGGCATGGAGCTGGCGGAGCCGCCCTCGCCCACGCTGCCCCGTGCCTCCAGGAGCAGAGTCTCCGGGAAGCTCCGTCGCTCCGCCAGCGCGCTCAGCAAGGCTTCCAGCTGAGCTCTGGGACACAGAGCCCCGGCCAGGGGAGCGACAGAACGGGCGGTTTGGGGGGAACTCGTCTGGAAAGGGACGGACGAGGGGTTTGCTCTCCCAGTCTTGGGTTCCCTGACTGGGACAGACGTGGCCGGTGATCAGGTGTCACCTGTGTTACCATCAGCGTGGCACTGTCACCAGCTGAGCGAGGGCCCCAAGCCCCTGGGCACAGGTGCTGGCGCCACAACTACAGGTCATGAACCAGCATTGAAACCAGTTATTCAGTGTACCCTTAGAGCATTGCTTTAGTCGTTCCAGGCAGCACTTACCTGTGCGTTTGGGAATTCTGTCTAAATAGAGGTTTTCCCATGACTAGCCAGGTAGCACATGTTCTCCTCTGGAGCACAGGTGGATGAGGGAGCAGCTCTCCAGTCCGTGCTGTCCCGCTGCAGGAGTGCGATGGCCTCTCCACGGCGTGTGATGGCTGTGCACTGAACCACTCCCTAGAACAACAAGAATAACCAAATCCCTTTTGGAAGAGCAAAAGCCACACTCCCGCCACGACCCGTCCCCAGCACAGAGTGAAAAACTGGGTAACCTCTCCACCTTGTCCCAGCAGGGCAGCAGGCTGGGAACCACCTCTAGCCAGAGGACAGCACATCTGAAGGCTTTTGAGGACACGGTGTCTTCCTGGCACCTGGTGTAGTGAGCAGAGCTCATGTTGTCAGTAGGTGATGTGTTTTGGTCTCCACATGTCGTAGGTTTCTAGGGGTGACAATTTTTGTAGGTAAATCCCCAGTGTTATAAAAACAACAGAAATCTGAGATCCCACAGCCACGGACGGATCCATATCCTGCTGGTGTTCAGTTGCTCCTGGACACTCCCATGCACACCTCCCAGTGGAATGGGAGTTGCTTTAAGTGAAGGGATTGCATTTTTTGGGAAATGCCTCACTGGGCCCCATTTGTTTTTGCACTTGTAGTTGGTGTTGTGTCTGTCTGTCCATCTGCCAGCCCGGGACCACGCTGTGCACACAGGCCGCTGTTCCAGCCACGGCCAGTGGTGCCGAGGTGGCTCCACGCGCTGCTGTGGGATCTGTGCCCAGGCCCCGGTGCCCCCAGAGCAGGAGCTGGAACCAGTGGAGCTGACAGGAACCCCCCGGCACAGCTGCAGGAAGGAGCCTCCATCACTCAGGGCCTGGATGGCTGGTTTGATTTTCTGCCTCACATTTGGGTTTTGCTTTCTATTGATTTTGTGTTGTTGAACAAACTTAGAAAATAAAAGGTGTATTTTAATTTATTTTACTTTCAGGGCCAGACAGGCAGGACTGTCTGGCCCTTAGTTATCCAATAGCTGGTCTGAAACAATTTCAAAGGCATCCTTCTGAGTAAGGAGCCATTTCTTGTTAGAGCAATATGCATCTCTAATTCAGGGAGAAATTAAAACACTGATGAAATAGTGTTTTCCTGATGTCAAAAGCATATTAATTTGTATAAACTCAGCTGTGGTTTTGCACCCTGAGGTGGATGACAAAGCCGCTCTGTTACCCCTCACAGATGTAATAAATCTTTGCTCCCAGTAAATGTCCCCAGAGAGCAGCAGAGTACCTGGTGGTGTGTGCGGCGGCGGGGCGGGAGGTGCTGGGTCCAGTTCGGCTCTGCCTCCGCTGAGGGGGTGGTGGTTCCCGGCCGTGCCGGTGCCGTGTGGAGCTGCTGCAGGTGCTGTGGGTGTGCAGGGCCGGCTCACACGGCGCGGTGACGGCGGCACCGGCACACGCTCTGCCTGCCTGCCATTGGTGCCGCGGCTGCGGGAGCAGCTGCCCCGTGCGGAACCAGCAGTGGCGTTTGCAGGCTCCAGTGCTCGGGGGGTGTTTGTGCCACGCCACGACACGGGCACCAGACACGACAACACCCCACACTTGCCCCACAGGGACCCACGTGGCAGCAGTACCATTTGCCATCCCTGCAGGGTGGGCATCTTCTGCCAGCCCAGCCCTTCCCGCGGCACTGAGAGGGCTCAGTGGTTGCGGAGCACAATGACTGACCCTCGGGGACTCCCAGAAGCCACTGTCCATAACCTGCTTCCCTGCAAGGCCTTGTGGCCCAGCCACTTGCATCAGCATTAAAAACAAGATGTTTCTAACAGTGGTTTTCTACTCTATTGAGATATTCCTTAAGGAAGTGCAGGGGGCTGCACATCCAGGTCAGAAAAGACACTTGGAAATCTCTGTTCCTTTGCTGAAGGGAGATGACAAAGTTCTCTCCTCAATTGCTTTCAGGTGCTCTCATCAGAGATGGAGAGTTAATGCAGCCACCTCCAGATAAGGCTCCCTTTGCAGAAATAACTGCCCTTGCCAACCTGGCTTCCACCCGCCTTTGCTGAGGAGGATCCCTTCCCAGGCCCAGCACCTGCACTCTCCTGTGGCCATGGAGAGCAGGCGGGAGCCGGACAAGGGGTCACAGTGCTCAGTTGGTGCCCTGTGCCCCTCACAGGCACAGCCGTGTGGACCCATCCCCTGGCAGCAGGCGGGGCAGGGCAGGATGGGCGCGGCTCCGGCTGGCACGGCCTCGGCACGCAGCTCCCGCACGGCACAGCCCAGCACCGGCACCCCCGGGGGGCAGGAGGTGCCAAGCCCACAGCGCTGGGTGGGACACAGCCAGCCCCCGCCGCTGCCACGGGCGGGACAGGAGCGGGACAGGAGCCAGCCCGGGGCAGGAACACGGGGCCGAGGCACCCCCAGCCCCACCAGCTGCGGCAGCTGGCACAAAAATGACAATAATAATAATGAATTATTAAAATAAAGTTAAATAATATATAACTAGTTTATACTTACTGTGGGATCACAGACTGGTTGGGTGGGAAGGGACCTTCAAGGGGCCCATCGCTGCTATCTCATGTAGCTGTATATACATATCACTGTATAAACTGCAACATTTACTAAACAAACTATAACGTGTGCCTGTATACTTACATTCTAAATAACAGAATACTGCATAAGAAAATTGTGTCATTCACATCACCAACCTATAAATTCTATATATAACATTACATAAAGAGCGTGTAACATAATACACAATACAATATTTTGCACATATATAATGTGCATCACGGAATATTCAATGCACTGTGTACATACAATAAATAATACTATTTTAGGTCATGTCTGACATGTATGTACAGTGCACATGCCAGGTGTGCATATGTGTGTGCACTGTGCAGTGACTCTGTCCTCCACAGCACACACACCCTGGCTGCAAAGCTGAGCAAACATTCTGTAAGGCAGCGGGGCTTCAGTACATCAGTATTGGCAATGTATCAGTAATCATCTATAATGCATACATGATATTATATGCTGGACATAATGTTTTCTAATATGTATTGTCTGATAGACAACATAAACCAGATATTATATATTAGTATACATTGTATAATATAATATGCATTGATATAATGTGTATAATATACACTGGACTACATTTTCTGAAGTATACCTTTCTTAGATTATAGGATATACTGCTATAAAAGGAATTTTATATTTATATGTTTATATTTATATGTTTATATTTACTTCATCACAGAATCTCTGATTCTGAAGGGACCTTAAAGCCCATCTTGTTCCAATCCCTTGCCATGGGCAGGATACCTTCTGCTAGATGTGGTTGCTCCAAGCCCCGTCCAACCTGGCCTGGAACACTTCCATGGATGGGGCAAATGTAAAATATAATGTATCATATGTAATAAATTCTGAATTTCTTCGATGTGCATATAGCACAAACCTCCCAGGTGAGCCCCCCCTGCTGTACAGCATTTTCCTCACATTTGTCTTTGCACTGGTGTTGCAATAAAGGTAATTTAGTATGAAAAACTGTAAAATGAGATAATAAACCACCGTGGTCCCATACTCTGAGGAAGCAGAACCTGTTCTGATCTGCAGCCAAGCCGTGCTCCTCCTCTCCCCCAGCCCTGGCCAGCACTCGCTGCAGCACTGGCAGAGCCTTTGCTCTGCTTTAAATCCTGCCTGTCCATCAGCTTCCCCGGTCCCTAAAGGAGACCGGCAAGCCCTCGGTCAGGCCGTGGGCTGGTGCAGGAGCTGGGCAGGAATGGGCTGGGCTGTATGGACCGTCACCTCGGAGCTGCAAGGGAGCTTTATTAGTGCCAAAAAGAGCCATTTTTTTCCTAAGAGGAACAGGAGATTTACCCGGCCCTGGCTGTTGGGAATATCGTCCCAGTTACCGTGTCAGGGCGTGTTCCGAGGAGGGGTCGCAGCTCCCCACACCAGCACCGCCGATGCCCCGTGCCCAGCTCTGCCCGGCTTCGGTCCCTCAGTGCCTGCACGGAGGAGAAGGGCACAGTCAGAGCAGCCGGCTGTGCCCCGGCCCTGCAGCCCAGCACTTGGATTCACAGACGGTTTGAAAGGACCAAGCCTGGAGGTGCCCGGTGCTGGCATCGCAGGACAGCCTGGCACGTCCCTCTCTCTGATTAAGGTATCAAATGTTGCCAGAGCCAGACCTTTGTTATGTGGATTGTAAACTGAATTTAATTAAGACCATTAAAGCCCTGATGAAGCTTTTTATCTGCATGGAAGGATGTGAGGTGTTTAAATGCAATATGCAGGACACAGCAACACGCCCGTGCCTTTCACCCAATGTACCTGCCCAGGTACCTCAGGAAGCTCCTGTCCCATCCAGCCCAAAGCACCCACACCCCACAGCACCCCATGGCACCTCGAGGCACCGCATGCCCCGCAGCAGATGGGCAGAAACACCTGTGACTCCATGAGCCATTTCCCAGCTCATTAACAGCGACGCATGTTTTTAACACATTTATGTGAGGAAGAAGTTTGAAGCCCAAGGCAAAAGCCCATCCCTGTCCTGTCTCTGGGCTCGCCCCAACCCCATGGACACCTCCCAACTTCCTACCCAAGAAACAGACCGGGAGGTGCTGGGCAGGAGCCCTCAAAACCTTGGGCTGTGCCCAGCTATGTTCCCCAGGCAGTCCATCCAGCAAGGCAGCTGATGGATGCCCCACTGCACTGATGGCTGCGAGGGACTGTAGTGTTGGTACCAAAAATTGCTAAAAACCTACAGTAGACAAGCAACCTAGAGAGGCTCCTCCCCTGCAGGTGAGAGAAGCTCACCCCAGCTTCTCACCAGCTCCATGCCCATGGGGCAGGGATGGAGTCCATGCTGCATTTCTCAGGACCCTGCAGGTTTCTGTAATTGATCTCCCTGGCTCCTTTCTGTGTGCTCGCAGTTTGTTCCAGACCAGCATTTGGCTCCTGGTGTGCTCGGAGAGGAGGAAGGCTCTGGTGGTTTGTGCACCGGCCAAAGCCCTCTGTCCATGTGCCCAGAGTAAGCAACCCACGCAGCAGCTGCCTCCACCACGTCACGTCTGGGGCAAGATGAGTGTTTTCCGTGGTGCCCAAACCTGTTCCTGTTGAAGGCACCGAGAGCCATCAGCAATTGATTTGTTAGCTGACAGCAGGAGGCTTTGTTTGCTCAGCGCTGGCTGCCCATGCTGCCGGATGGCGAGGACATGGCACCCACCAGCCACACCTGCATTCCCAGGAGCTGCTGTGAGCAGCGCTGGGTGAGCCCCGGGTTCTGCCACGGCACCAGCCTCCTGGCAGAGCCACTGAGCTACAGGTGGGCTTGGGGGCTCACAGCACAGAGGAGGAGGCAGAGCTGAGCCCGCCAGAGGTCCAGTGCGGGCCTGGACAGTGGGACAGCACAAGGGAGGAGCTGGTGAGGGGTAGGGACAGATCCCTCCCCAAAATACTGCCCAAAGGGGGCTCGTGTGAGCAGGTGGCCTTGTGAGCTGCTGTGGTGGTGCGATGCCCTTCACTATCAGAGTGGCAAGAGACGCAAAATGGTGATGCCGATGGCTCCCTGTAAAACCCCCGGGGCAGTCGGTGCTCACCCTCACAAGGACCCTCTCCAAAAACCCCCCTGGGCAGTCGGTGCTCACCCTCACAAGGACCCTCTCCAAAAACCCCCCGGGCAGTCGGTGCTCACCCTCACAAAGGCCCAGCAGTGCAGGCAGGGGAGAAGGACCACAGAGACAAAGGCTCAGGAGCTCTGCCCAGGCTGCTGCAGCCCAGTGAGCCAAAAGCAAATTCCACAGTTTTTACAGGATGACTGTGAACAGAGCCATTTCCAAAGTACTCCGCTGTCACCTCTCCTTACGCCTCCCTAACACAGGGATCTCCTCTGATCACACTTTCCACTGCAATCTTCAGCAGAAAATAACAATATATCGTTGGTGCCAATGGCTACCAAGACAGTTCTACAAACCTGGGGAATTCTTCTGGCCCCAACAATTTTTAACTGATTCCTACAGGGATAGACATGGATTACTTGACTATTAGGAAATGGACACCGGTATGAAGCTGTTGTTTTGTAGCCTGCTGGTGCCACAGGCTTCAAGCATGGATTTCATCAGGAGCACTGCTGTGATGGCATGGATGGAGCTCTGGGGTGAGGATGCACTGGGCATTGCCCTAGAAACAGTGTCCAGTGGCCCGAGAGGATGGCCACGTGTGTTGGCAAAGTCCCCTTGGGGACCGGAGAGCCCAGCCCATGGACAGCTGCGACACCGTCTGCGACAGCCCAGGCTCTGGGGCTTTCCAAGGCCAGGGAAGCCAGGAAAAGCAAAAGCACACCTCTTGCCAGGCATGTTTTGCTGCCTGTGTCTCTCAGGCCATGGTCTTTTCCAGTATATCGACTCGCAGCTAAAACCACAGCTTTGCCGAGATCTGAAATCAGCCCTGGCATAACCAAGCTGGTTTCCTAGGAATCAAGACAGCAGGAGTGTACCTGCACTGTTGCTTTTTAGCCTGACTGAGCAAGAAAAAAATATCTTTCTCTAGGAATACTTTCTTTCTCTACGAGCTTTGCTATATCAAAAAATACCCAGACAATTCCTGGGAAATTTCCCTACGGGAAGCTCCTTTCCCACAGTGAATCAGCCACGTCTCAGGCAGGAGCCTTTAGGTGAGAGAAGATGGCAGGAACAGGTTGGAAAACTCTTCCCATGAGCCAAAGCCTCAAAGGTGTTACCACCCCAGAGACGGAGCAGCCCCAAGGCCCATGCTGAGCCCTTAACACACCAGTCTGGGAGCAGGGATTTGCTCGGGGCTGCCGAGCAGATCCACATGCCGTGGAGTTGGCTCCATGGCTTCTCCTGCTGGCAAAGGGGGAGATGGTACAGGTGCACTGCAACAGCTGTGAGAGGGTTTCACAGACACAGCACACACCTTCCCCACTTACACTGATACTACATCACTTTTCACTAAAAAACTTACAAAACTACTTTTTGACCAAAGCCCTGTGATTCCCACATACAGACACAAGCCCTGAAGAGCTACCTATATATACATGGTTGTTGAAGGATGCTGCAGAAGTCCCACAGCAGGGCCGAGGGACCAGGCAGGAGCAGGCTCCAGCCCTGCCAGGAGGCACACAAACACCTGGCATTCCGTGTGCCAGACTCCACAGCTCACAGCCAAAGCAGGATGCCGCCGCTCCACCGAGCCCCTGAACCCCACACCTCAGCGCCGAGCACGCGGGGCAGCCACCCAGCAAACAGCACGGCCCTCCCAGGCAAGGATATCTCCAAGTTCTCCACTCACAGGTGCTGCCCCACCTCAAGTTCTCCCTAGAACACCTTCCAGGGAAGGTCCCTGGCAGCTCCTCCCTGGCTGTCCCCGCAGCAGGGCACAGGGCAGGCTGTGCCCGGTGCCAGCTGTGACAGGGGCAGGGCCAGGGCTCCAGCCCACAGCCAGGGGACCCCTGGCTGAGCATGGCAGCCTTCCCCTGCACTGGCCACACTGCACCCTGCTCTCCTCCTCCCAGTAATTCCTTTTTAATTAATCTCATCAAACACTACGGAGCAGGCTGGTGCCTACGGAGGCTCCCTGCCAGCTGCACTGCGGAGACGGGTCCCAGCCCCCCCGAGCCCCCAGGGCCAGCCCGGCAGGGACGAGCACGAGGGGTGGGGGCACGCTTGAATTTGAAAATATTTTATTTGAATAGTAAATAATTATACAGTTGAAACAGTTCTATCGAAGCACTCTATAAATAGCTAACAGTTAAGAAAATAATGTGTGTAGAAAAAGAGATTGCATCTAAAAGTAAGAGCTGTTGGTTGCACGGGATAAAATGGTTAAGATCATGTGTTATTCTAGGTATAAAAGTTAAAACCTTTTTAGCAGATCCCTTTAGAAAAAAAGATCTTCTAAAACGCACAGTGAAATGGCAGGCGGGGAGACAAAAAAAGCACATTAGAATATCTGCAATCAAATAATATCAATCTTCATAATTAATATAAATAAATAACGAATAAATAACATAATTACTCAAACCAACATATACAGATAGTCAACTCATGAGCTACCTTAGTAAGGGCAAAACAAACAGAAACATAAAGTTGGCATGTCACAGTTAAGGCAGTTTCTACAGCATTTTCTGGAGACCATCAACAGCAGAGTCAAGGCATTTGTGGCTACACTAAAGGACATGCTCGATTCTCTCGAGCAGTTTGATCTGTTCACATCGATAAAAAACGGAGTGAAGGAACAACAAAAAAAGAATTAAAAAAAAAAAAAAAAGAAAAAAAAAAAAAAAAAAAAAAAAAAAAAAAAAAAAAAAAAAAAAAAAAAAAAAAAAAGGGAAAAAAAAAAAAAAAAAGAAAAAAAAAGAAAGGAGAGACCCCGGGAAGGTAAGTGTAAAGCCAGATTCCAGCAGGTCGCAAGCCGTATTAAAGCTAATCGTGTGGCGGCCCCGGGGGAGCGGCGCGGGGCCGGCGGGGAAGGCACGGGCGGCTCAGCAGGCGGGACGCAACGGCACCTGGAGCAGGATGACCTGCCGGTTCTCCGAAGGGTGGCACTTGTTGATGTGCCGGGTGAGGCCGGGCGAGCTGTAGAAGGTGGCCGGGCAGTACTTGCAGGGGAAGACCTGGGCGGCGTGGAGGAGGCGCAGGTGCCGCTCCTGGCTGCTCTTGCTGGGGAAGGTCTCCCCGCAGACGGGGCAGAGGCGGCACTCGGCGGCGGGCGGCTCCTCGGCGGCGGGCTCCGGGGCGGGCGCGGGGGCCGGGGCGGTGTGCCCCAGCAGGTGCTTGCGCAGGTAAGCTTGCCGGCGAAAGCGCTTGGCGCAGCGGGGGCACTCGAAGAGCCCCTCCTCGGAGCCAGCCTCCGAGGCTCCGCCGGGGCTCGGCGTGTCCCGCTCACTGCCGCTGCCGCCGCTCGCCTCTTTCGGCGGCTCCTCCGCCGGGCTCGGGGCCGCGGCCGGTGCCCGGCCCGACTCGGGGCCACCCTTGGCGGCGGGCGGGCGCGGCTTGTGCCAGCGGCGGTGGGAGGCGAGGTTGGCGGGGCAGGAGAAGACCTTATCGCACTCGGGGCAGCGGTACTCCACCCGGACGATGCGGGAGCAGCGGTGCTGCGCCAGCGCGAAGGGGTCCCCGTACTCCTCCTTGCAGAGCTGGCAGATGAACTCGCCCAGCGGGCGGGCGCAGCCGCCCCGCGCCTTGGCCGGCGCCTCCACCGGGCCCTCCTTGATGCGCAGCCCCAGCACGGGCGAGGTGGTCACCTCGTCCTCGAAGGTCAGCTTGCGGATCGCCTTCGTCTTCTTGCCCGACGGAGCCTTGTGCCGCCCGGGCTCGGCCGCGCCCGGCGGGCGCTTGTTGGGCGGCGGGCGGCCAGAGACGGGCGGCGCGGCCGGGGCGGGCGGCGCGGGGGCTCCGCCGGGGCCGGAGTGGGCGGCGGGCGGCTCGACGTGGCCGGCGGCGGCCCAGAGCTTGAGCTCGGCCGGGGCGAAGAGGAGCGGGTCCATGGTGCCGGGAACGGCCGGGGCGGGGAAGGACTCGGCCGAGACGGGCGAGCCCAAGCTGAAGCCGCGCTCCAGGTACTTGTCCCTGCTGACGGGCCGCGTGGGGCTGTACAGCGCCTGCACGGCGGCATCGGGCGTCCCGAAGGGCACGGGCGGCGGCGAGTCCCGCGGCGGGGGCGGCGGCGCGGCGGGGCAGGCGGGCGGCGGGGCGGCGCCGGGGGGGAGCGGCGGGCCGGCGGCGGCCTCGCGGCAGCAGCGCGCCCGGTAGGACACGGGGGTGGGCCGCCGGCTGCGCTTCACCAGGAAGCCCCTGGGCATCTTGGCGCCGGCTCCGGGCCGGCGGTGGCCGCGGCGGAGACTCCTCGCTCTGCCCGCGGCGCGGCCGCCGCCGCCTTTAAGCGGGTCGGGGCCATTGTTCGGGCCGGCGGCGGCGGCACCGGCCAATCAGCGGCGGCGGCGGCGGCGCGGCCGCACCTGAGCCCGGCCCGGCACACGCCCGGCCCCGCCCCCGCCCGCCCCGCGCCGCCCGCCCGGCACGCGCGGCCTTTGTGTGCCGCCCCCCGCGCCGGCTCCGCCACCGCCACCGCCACCGCCACCGCCACCGGCACCGGCAGCGCTCCCGCCGCCTGCCAGCTGGGAACGGCACACAGCGCCGGCAGCGCCCACTGCTCGCGGGGGCGGCCGGCACCGCGGTACGGGGAGCTCGGCGCAGGAGGCGGCGAAAGCGGCGCTTGTGGCGGCGGTGGCACAAGGGGGAGCGGGACTGCCCGCCGGGGGTGCTGCCTATCTGGGGTCCTGCCCGTCTGGGCAGCAGGTGCCCAACGACGGGTCTAAGCGAGCGGGAGGAATCACGAATGGGTCGTCGGTGCCGGGTCGAGTTCGGCAGCTCCGAGAGCGGAATAAGCCCGAGCTGCTGCGGGGCCGGGGCGGGAGCGCCGCAGTCCCGGCCCGGCGGTACCCGAACCTGTTACCCGAGACCTGCGGTCCCCGCCGCGCGTTGGGTACGAAGCGCAGCGGGGGACGTGCGGCGGGTCTCCTCTCCAGCCGCTCCCGCATGCCAAAGTCGGTGTCGAAGCAAACACGCCCGGAGCCCCCGAGGATGCGCCTGGGGCCGCGAAGTGGCGGTCCCGCGGGCCCGGCCTCGGCAGGTGCAGCCGCCGCGGGGCGACCCCCGGGCCGCGGCCTCGCTGCCGTGGCCCTTTGTCCGCGGCCGCGCGGGGTACGCGCGGGGGGCCGGCGCTGCCCCGCAGGTGGCAGGGCCGGGGGCCGCTGAGCCGCGGCGGGGCCGGGGGCGCGTGCGGGCGGCGCCCCCCCCGCCGGGCCCTTTGTGGGGGGCGCGGGGCACGCGGGCGGCACGCGAGCGAGCGGGGCCCCCCCGCGCGCGCCTTTGTGCGCTGCATTAGCATAAAGCTGCGCGACCTTCCCGGCACAAAGCGAGGGGGCGGGGGGCGCCGGGGGCCGCCGCTCCCCCGGACACCCCCCCTGCGGGCCGGGCCAGGCGGCGGGGGGGTCGTGAGGCCGCCCCTCCCGCCCGGTGGGACAGGCGTGCGGCGGGGCGGGGCGGGCGGGCGGCCCGCGGAGCATTAGCATACAGCTGCGGGCCCGCGGGCACGCGCCGCCGCCCCCCCGCCGCGCCGGCACACCGAGAACCCCCTCACCGACAGGGCTGCACGCTCAGAACCCCCTCACCGACAGGGCTGCACGCTCAGAACCCCCTCACCGACAGGGCTGCACACTCAGAACCCCCTCACCGACAGGGCTGCACACTCAGAACCCCCTCACCGACAGGGCTGCACACTCAGAACCCCCTCGCCACGGGGGCTGCGCACCAAGAACCCCATCGCCACGGGGGCTGCGCACCCAGAGCCCCTCACTGACGGGGCTGCACACCCAGAGCCCCCATCACCACTTGGGCTGCGAACCCAGAGCCCCTCACTGACGGGGCTGCACACCCAGAGCCCCCATCACCACTGGGGCTGCGCACCCAGAGCCCCTTCACCGATGGGGCTGCACACCCAGAGCCCCTCACTGACGGGGCTGCACACCCAGAGCCCCTCACTGACGGGGCTGCACACCCAGAGCCCCTCACTGACGGGGCTGCACACCGAGTGCCGTGCCCCACACACCTCGGCGCTACACACCGCCCCCCGTTCCCCCACCATTCCTCACCTGCCGCAGGCTGGGTCCGCAGGGGTCCGTAGGTGTCGGTCGGGGCGTACATGGGCAGGTGGGCGCGGTGGCGGCGCAGGAAGCGCAGGATGGGCTCCAGCAGGGCGGGCGGGCCGGGGCTGTGCTCAGCGGTGGGGGGCTGCCCTGGCACCTGCAACACAGAGCCATCAGAGGCTGAACTGGGCTCGGGGCACGCACTGGTGATGCGGAACGTGGGGTTTTGACCGAAAATGGCCCAAAAACGTGTCAGGGCCAGGACACAGCAGGCAGCGAGCACAGAGTGGGGCTCACACAGGTGGCACCGAGCGCACCCTGGGACAGGTGGTGCTGGACTGTTTGTTCATCCCTCCCTCCCTCCCAAGTGACACAATGCAGATGCAAGGGTTGTGTGAAACCGAACCTGAGTGCAGTCCCCCGGCTGTCGTGGACACAGGCTGTCCAAGGGGTTTAGCCAAAGGAATTCCCTACCCCATGCCCAATTTACTGTGGCTTTTAACCCAGTCCGCAGCCCCAGCTGCAGCCAGAGAAGCAGGACATTATTCCTGACGGAGGATAAGTGCCTGTTCCGGAAGGTCTGGCGCGGCACGTGTGCCCTCGGCGTGCGGCAGCATCCAACAGCTGATGGAGGTGCAGACCCCGGCCCTGCCATCTGCCTGTTTGCATCGCCGAGCCGCGCGGCGGCACAAACACATGGCTGTGATCCCCCAGGGGTAAACACGCCCTGCGCCAGAGGCCCCGCGAGAGCCCCGGCGGCGAGGGCAGCCTTGGTGACAGTGTCTACACAGGCTCAAGGCACCGGCTCTGGCCCTGCCTGGCTTTTCTAGGCAGTTATTGCTTCTACCAGCAAACCTTTCTGTAAATGTTACCCCTATTGCATGACACTGATTTCCAGTTTCTCTGGACACTGTAACCATAAATGTCTTGAGTCCTGTTCACTTAAATTCACAGTTCTTAAACATCCTTCAAAGGAGTGTTTTTCTCTCATTTTTACATTTCATCATTAATTTTTCTGCATGCTTAAGTGAGCTGGAATATGAGCAACAGGAAGCAAGGACAGTCCTTTACTCCATATAGAAATACAGACAGTCCCAAGGCATTTAAGAGAGATTCCATAAGCACAGGGTACCTAATCTGTATCTGGCAATGTGCCCAGAAAGAACACCCAATGAAAACACATAAATGTGATATTTAGTAAATACAGTTAAAATCACCGCAAAAAAGAATCCAAATAAAAATCCAACCCCCCTAATTTGCATTCAGATGCAGATACATCACCTACTTTAATGTGAGCAATCCTGACTCACAGAGCTGCTTCCAGTCTGTGCAGGGAGACTGCGTGTGTCAGGACTGCTACCATAAGGACACAGTAAGGCAAGTGAATCCTTAATTTGTAGGGCACCAATTCCCCTCTCTCTGAAGTTGTTCACACTTAGAGCATGCGAAATGCAACTGAATGATGGCAAAAAACCCACATCAGGCCCCCCATTCTGAATCTCATTTTCTTTTATAGATGTCTTTCAAGAGAATCTAAATTAAATCACACCAAGGCACTTTCTGGGTCAGGACAACAGGAAGCGAATTGTTTGGAGCCGTTCTGGGAGCATGCGTGTGGCTGCAGCCGGGACACGGCAGCACGGGCACGGCGCTTTGGGTGGGCCACAGGCTCCACAACTTCCCTTCCTCCTGCCACCCTGCCTCCATCAACACTCAGTTCTGTTCGTTTTCTGCACGGTTAAAAACTGTGAGCACGTACTTAAAACTCACGGCTGCCGCCCGGAACTGTGGGGGGTTAAGCAAAGGCAAAAGCAGCGTGAGCAGGAGGAGGGTAGGCTGGTCCCAGGTAGTGAGGGGGAAACATAGAGATCAGAACTCAAATTCAGTTTGGGATCAGCCAGAAGTTCCTCAGAGGGTGGGGGAGGCAGCTCCGGGGGCTGTTGGACACCTGCCATTAACAGCCACAGAGTGCAGGGGCTTTGCAGTTTGGGCAGGCAAAGTTACAGGCTGCTTAGGCTTTGTGCCTCTGTCTGTGGTGCTAATGCCAAAGCTATAAACAGCATTAGCAAACACTTCAATTTCACCCTTATTCAGGAGATCCACACACCACTGAAAAAGCCAGTTGCTTTCACTCTTTGGGCTACAATGAAAAACCTACCCACGGGCTCAGCTGAAGCAGATGTAGGATGGGCTGTAGCGAGTTCCTGTTAGGGAACACTACTAAACCCAAGGGGATAGCTACACAAGCCAGCCTCCACATTCCACTGTGTAGTTACACTAAATCGCAGATATAATGCAAAAATGCTGTGAAGGGAAACAAAGCAACTTCCAAGTTCTACTGGCAGATTTGAGAATATGCCCAAACAACAAAACTGAATAATATGTGCTGTAGTCAGTGACCTGCCCCCCCCCCCCCCATGAGGTACACAGTCTGCTCAGGCTTCCCCGAGGAGAGAGCTAAACAGAAACATTAGGCTTCAGGAGAAAGATGGGAGAAGAAACCGAAGTGAACAACACTAACAGATTACCTAAATAATAAAATGCACTCGGCGGTCGTTCTTCTTACCTGTTCTGAGATCAGGATTTGGCGCAGTTCCTTCTGGAGATCAATAAACCGATCGTGATAGATGGCCATGGACCAAGGTTCCCTGAAGTAGCTGGGTAAAAAAGAAGAAATTTAGTTATCTTGTAAACCTCTCATTAACCACTAATAAAGTATTTACCTGCTTTTTTGCCTTTATAAATTACAGTTCTGGACCCATCATGATCGTTTGTTCATAAAACGCCTCCTGTAACAGCATGGTCAATCAATTCTTTTAATGGATGTTCCTGATGTACAGCCAGCTTCAGTAATTACATTTAAAGTGGCTTAATTCAGAGCTGTGGCAAGACCCAGTGAAGAATCCTGATTTTATCAGAATTTAAAAGCCTGAAGACCTGTAAAGAACGGTGTCTCCATTATCTGTCCTCATTTGAGAAAAGCAGATTGCAGGATTAACTGAACTGCTGCATAAACAAATTAAATTTGTGTAGACAATGACACAAATGTTGTTCATCATTAAGGTTTCTGGATTAATAAAAGCCAGAAAAACAGGCCACCACAGCGCTGCAATATGTTCTTTGTGCTATTCTGATGAAGCTAAACTGAACTGATTCTAGGAGCAAGCTCTTGTAACTTTTTCTTTCAGTGACAGCATTTACAAGAGCATTCTTCCATGAAAAAGGAGGAAAAGGATGGAGAGGACATGGCTCCATGTAGAACCTCATGGCCGTAAATATAACCAGAGGCAGCCAGACTACAAAGCTGTGATTTATTTCTCTTTATAATGAACGATAATTTTTACAGCTCGGGCGAGATGCGCGTGTGTAATTCTTGTTAATGCTCGCTGCAGTCAGGAGGTGCCCCACGCTCATCCCTGTAATGACCAAGCAGATGTCACCAGGGTCACCCAGAAAATTGGGAGAGGGGGACATTTGCATGGCTGTGTCCAACACTTGTGCCTTTGGAATGGCAGCAGGAGCCTGGCACTGCCCCAGGAGCACACAAATGCTCTCCTGGTCCAGCTGTGGGGGCTCTAGAAGAACATCTGGATAAGGCAACTGAAACGGTGCTACCCGAGTTCAATAATTCTGCCTACAGAGATCTGATGTGCAGTTCCCTCTCTGTGGATTTTCTCTCCTCCACATCCAAGGGCAGGATTTCCCCCCCTGCTCTGAACTACCCCTCAGCTCTCCTGTGCCATTAAAAGCACTCTGCATGTCTGGCACAGCTCGGCTGGGTTTTCACGTGCTCGGCCCCTCTCTGGCCCTGCACCCCCTTCCTCTCAGTGTGCCAGGCTGGCTGGGGCTGCCCCTCGGAATCTGCACAGCCTCCAGCACAGCAGGGCTGTCTCCCAGAGGTGTTTTCACAGTATAAATATTTATGGACACTCTTCCAAACACAAATGCTGCCCAGCCCAGGAGTTACCACCACTCAGCTGCTGGCTCGTTCAGATATGCAGGTTAGAAAGGATGAGCTCAGCTTTAAGGATCTTTATTTCAGTAACTGCACACCTGAAATGTGTGCAGAGAGCTAGACAAGAACACAATATCCCTTAAATATCTAAAACCCCTTTAATTTCGGAAGAAAACCCCCACCCAACACAAGCCTTTAACTCACTGTTGATATCAGATAGCAAAGAGAAAGGGGAGTGTTATACAAGAATACATTAAGGTAATTAAAGACTATTTTTACTGATATGCCCTTTAAAAGCCGTGTTCCACTAGCCAAATGTTTTGTCTTCAAGCTGGCATCTTAATTTTAATTGGAACTCTGAGGAGGTGATTTCTCTTTCAACTGAGGCATACCTTCCAACTGCTCACCTGCCTCACTGAGGTGTTGCATTAAATGTTGTTTATCAATGTTTCAGGGGTGCTATGTATTCCTGGTACCATTACTAGTTCCATTCCTAACCATGAGTTTAACCATTCCTATCAATATTCATAGATTTGGAGCTCAAAACCTGAAATTCACGGCCATGTTTGGAATATTTAATGCAAATAAAATGTCCTTTTTTAGGGAACAGAGAATGCCTTGTTCATGTTTTCTAAACATGCTGCCAGAAGGAGCTCCCTGTCTCCCTTCATTTTCCTTAACCTGAAGAACTGTACCCTCCAAGGAGGATTTGGAGATTCACCTCACAAAAAAAAGGTGCTTTCTTTGCTGGCTCTGTGCTTTCATCTGTTTATCTTTTCAGTTCAAATCACCTTTCTCTGGGGGCACGTGGTGTTCTTGAGAGAGTAGCTCTACATATGGCTGCAAAAGGGAAGTTTAATAATGAAAACAGCCATTTGAATCCAAACCACCAAGTTTACTTTCATTCTGAATTTTATTACCACTTCAGCAGCAGTCCCTCAGGGCGAGCTGGGGAAGGCTTCGAAGTCTAATGCTCTTCAGTGTAGGAGATGGAGCTGGCAAGCTCCCACCAGGGGCTCAGAGGCTCCTCTGCTAGCATGAGAACAGCATCTGCCACATGTGTTTGCACCGTTTAGTCTTTCAGAACCTGCCAGAGCCATCAGGCTCAATACGTACAAGATGCCAACGCTGCCAGGAGCATAAGGGGGGTGCAAACTTGGTCACCTCCTAGCAGGGATCCCTGCTGGAAGCCTTTCTAGCAAGGGCAGCGTGGCAGGACGGCGTCTCTGACAGAGTGGGAGGGAACAGGCTCCTCCAGAAGACAACGAGCAACATCCTTCTCGTTGCTAAGGAGCTGCTCTTGCCTCTCACCGACAAACAATATTTAAAATCTGGTCTGCCTTATTGGGGAGGTGTAGCCTACATTAGATGAGAGGCAAGGAGGAAGGAAATATTCTGTGGTGTCCTGCAAAAAAACCACAGAATCCTTCCCCTTGCAAAAGATGTAAAGGAAACGAATAGAGCTGGGCACTGCTGGCAAGCAAAACTGGAGTGTGCGTGCACGTGGCTGTCCATCCAAGAGCTGCCTATAGTCACTCTCCCTTTCATTTGCAGGAACACACCACATTTGGAGAAGAAGCCTCTACTCCTGTGGAAGATGGTTCTATGTCCCAGCAGCAAGGACCCAACCCCGCCCTGCTGTCAGGATTGGTGGCACAGGATAGAGCACCAGCAGCAAGGTGTAAAGCCAGAAAGTCTTAAAAACTGAAGGAAAAACCTTCAGAGCAACACACTTGGTTTGTAAAGAAACAAAACAAAAAGCAAGGTATAAAGTTAAAAAAGATCAGTAATTGCAGTTATTTTTAAATAATTTACAACCTTGTGACAGGGAAGGCCTGGCAGAGGAGGAGGACCAGCTCTGGGAGAGAGCTGATCAGCTCTGGACTGACACCGACCCCTGAGCAGGGGCACACGCTGCTGCTTCTCCCTGCAGTGAGACCAGGATAAGGTGGCATTTTCCAAGACTCAAAGGGCAGGTGGCACCTTGTGGTAGTGCCTTTGAAAAACCCATCTGCAGACTGGCATGTCCATGATTACAGGTGTGGAGGATGCTGTGTCTCTGGCTGTTCTTCTGCTACTCAGATCATAGCAGTTATGGTGTAGGTGATTCCTACTGAACTCCTCTTTAAACTTTCTAAACTCTGTGCTTTTTAAAGCTGACATAGAAGCACTGCTGTCTGCACATTCTGTCCGAGCACTTTGTGGCTGACCCTGACATCAGGCTTACTGCATTTTCTCACATAGTAAATTTCACATGTAATGCATTATGGAAAACAATTAAAAGGAAATTAAACCTGACATACAAAATCATCAGATAGGCTGTGTGCAGCGGTATGATTGCTTTCCTGCAACTGTTTATGGATTCAGAGTTTAATCATTCATAAGGGTTTGCATAATTGCTAGGATGAATCAGCAAGGTTTGGCTGCAAATTAATGTGGTAGTGTCCAGCTACGAGCTTTTACTTACTAATTTGGCCGTGGGGTTTCTTAGTAACATGGCTTTTCATCGGCAAGTTAGCTGCTCCTTTAGAACTCCATTAATATCTGCTCTCCAGCCATTGGTATTGATTGGGTCTGTAAGTACAGCTGTACCAGGGCACCGTGGGGTTAGTGGTTAATTCGGGAGCGAGAAAGCCGTTAGTGCTTTGATATCCCTTCACGTGTTCTTCTTGCCAGTCCTGTCTCTCTCTTTCTAAAAAGCACATGCATTTCCCTCTAATTAGGCTGCAGAGTGTACAGAGCAGCACTAGTCCCTCTCAGCCATGCTCACTACCTGCCACAGTTCCTTTCCAGTCTTTTTCCTCCCTGCAGAAAAAACATCTCACCGTCTGCACGATGAGCAGAAGCCTAAGGTGGAATCCCTTAAATGTAATCCCAGTTTGCTAATGGGTGTGGGATCCAGCAGACTCCAGACAGCAGCAGGGCATTCTAATGTTTCTCTTAATGAACAAGCACTCCTCATTTTGGAGAGTCTGGGTTAAAACCAGCTTTTCTATGCAGCAAGCATTTCATGTTTAAATGATCATTGATTATCCAGTCCATAAGTAACAGGTTTATATCTTTACCTAGTCCTTTTAACAATAATGCCAAAAACATCAAATTATGTTCTTTTTCTTGGTTTATTTGTTATATTGTGAGATTTATTAGCATTGGGTCAATAAATAGTCAGTCCAATGTGGAGTTTCTGCTTACATTGAATGACACTGCTTAATAAATCACCTTCAGCCTAATGTAAACAGCATCGAGATGTGAGAATTGAACTTCAGGGGAAAAAGCTAAATGGCTACTTCAAAATAAGTGAATGCTGTTCATGAAGCTCCAAATATTTTTGAGCATTTGGCTTGTACAGCCAATATACAAAATGCAACACAAGAGTAAGAGCCACGGTTTGAGGAGAGCAGCTAAGGAAACATCCTGTGCTGTTATCCACATTTATAATTTCTGAGTGGATTTTCCAAAGCCTCTCAAGGAAAGGGAACCTAACCCTAAGCCTTCCCATATTCCTGCTCCGCGTTTGGCAGCTTCATGTCCTATGGCCTATCAGTACCTGTTGTTGTTGAAGCTGTGCCACTTTGTGTAGAGCATTCCTAATTTTCCTGGTTTTCTTCAGGCTTTCTCAGCCTCTTGGACAGCAACACCCCCCCTCCCCCAGCCTGAGAGCATACAGATCTGGATCACCACAGATCCATGCGTAGACTGCTTATTTCCTTTTTAAGTGAAAACTGAATCCTACCTGCATTCCAGCACTGGGAAAAACATTCCTTTATCACTACAATTCAGCAAAATCCCCTGGAGAGCAAACTCGGTGCACACGAACGGCAGGAAACAGGGGAAGGGGATGGCTGAGCAACACAGGCTTTCAGAGGGTACCTTTTAGGAAGTGACTGGCACCATGATAGCAACTCTGACAGGACCCTTCTTAACACCTTTCCTCCTGTGCCACCCTCACTGTTCTGCAGCGGGTGCTCCCTCACCTCAGCATCACCGTCACTGCCACATGGCTGAGATGCAACCATCATCTTCTGTAGGTCATAGCTGACAACAAGTTCATTCATACAGCATTACCAACTCCTAAGTAAAAGCCACTCACACCTCATTTGTGAAATAAGCTCTTTAAGTATTTTAGAAACCAGAGGGTCAGATTTTTATGCATTATGTAAGATTTGCTTTTCATTAATGCCAAATGAAGCCTATGTGAACCACTTCTACCTCATATTAAAGGCATGATGCCAGTGAGCATCCATTTGGTTGCCAAGTATCAGGAGACCCCTCTAATTATCTGTTTTGTACTTAAGATGCAGCAGAGGGAGATTCCACCGCTCTGTGGACACGTTCCATAACTTGGCAACTGCCTTGCAGCTGCCTTCATCTCAGGAGAGCACAAAAGGGCGTCACTGGCTGGTTACACTCCTCCTCTGTGAAGCAGTGTGGAGGACTGGTGACCAGTAACAAATCTATAAGCTTAAAAAGAAAAATGTTGGCATATCTAGGGGCTATGGTTTCCTCTCCCCCCCTGAAACTGGGCTGGGGTAGCAGTGGAGCCCTGAGCAATGTGTGTCCACTGCCCTGCTTCACCTCCTCCAGAGCCCAGCTACTGAGGGGAGGAGGCAGAGCAGTGACCCATCTTTCCTTTGCTTGTGGGTCAAGTCCTGCAGCTTTTGTTCCTGTTGAAGTCGTACCAAAATCAGTGGAACTTTTCTGCAGACAGAAGGAGATGTTATTTCTCTCATTACTGCCGTTAGCCCCGGCTCCGGGCACACGACCAGAAGGGGTGACTTTGTCAGGTTTGCTGGATCTCGAGGGCCTGTTGTCGATGCTAATTTGAGAATGGCACTGGCACATTCTGGTCAGGAAATCCGGTATCATGGGGTTAACTTTCAGCTCTTATACTGAACACAAATCAGTGAGGAAATTCACTGCTAGGTGCACTGTCTAATTATTTAAAAGATAATTTGCATGCTACACAGAAATAAATTAGCTCCCAGGTGACAGCTGTTCCACTGTGTCCATTCCTGGAATGAGATGCCATGCTGGGAAATCTAAATACAGACCAAAAGATTAAAACACTGCACTTTCTTGCCTCATAGGAAGGCCCTCCACAAAACTGAGGCATAAAGAAGGGAGGCATAAAGAATGGATGCTTCAAACCATCACATTTACAAGCTTAACTAACAAATCACAACATTTTCCCAGTCTACATTCTTTTCACTAAGGGCACTTCACATCTTGCTAGAAGATGTACTAATTTAAAAGCACTTTTTTCAAAGTCAAAGGGAAATTCAGTCCTAACCTCAGGGTTGCGCTCATGCGGGATCCTCACAGACCATGTGAACGATGCCCAAAGCAGTTGGGTTTTTTTTGATCACACACACAGAAATCAGAAAATGCATTTTCCTGCTCCTCACCAAAAGCCAACCGGGTACCACTTTTTATCCACATAAGAGTCTTAAGACAATCTTCATCTCACACGAGATGCCAAACTGTTTTTCAGTGTATCAGTTTTCTGATAAACAGCCTTGTCACAGCTCAGTTCTCACACTGGCTACTGTACATTGCACACACGTCCATGTACGTTGTATGGAGTACTGCAATGTGGGGTGCATAAGTATTGTAGATGGGATATATTATGAGAGTACATTATATTGCCAGCCTTATTCTGTTGCTCTACCCCCTCCTGAGAGCAGCCCAGGAATCTGCTGCTTTCAGGAGCAATTTGCTTCCTCCTCTCCCTGTCTCCTCTTCCTCTTCTCAGCTGTCCTTGCCCTCTGCCTTGGCTGCCTGCGAAGGGCTTCCCTTTGCTTTTCGGTCTCCCCCTTGCTACACGTGCTGGAGAATGCACCCTCCTCACAGGGTGGACATGTGCAACAGGAACACCACACCCAGGATGAGCAGAACACGTGTGTGAAAGCACCACGAGAACCACAGGAGCGAGGAGATTAAAGAGCAGCATATGTTCATTGCTGAGGAGCAACATATGGGATGTCATACACATGACCAAAGAGCAAGAAGAGAAGGAACAAACCTATCTAAAGATAAGGTATAAAGAAGACTAAAAATGACGAGAGGCAATAAAATAACCAGATAAGAAAAACCTGGCAACTGCAATTCAGGAATTTTGCCACAGGCTAATGAGAGGTGAGATAAAATAATGAGGCAAAAGGTCCCAGACAACATCCCTGTCTAAAGGCTGTAAAATACAAGTCCAAAATTAGTTCATCATCACTAATTAAGGAGAGCTCAAGAGATGTGATGAGGTCCTGATACGTGGTGTACCTTTGTGCAGCACACCAGTGATCCTGGCCAGACCACCAGTCTCGCAGGTCCCACTGCCTGTGACAGGGGGATGTGAGAGGACCCTGGTGAGCACAGAGCAGGTAAGACACTCCCAGTCTTACAGGAGCAAGTGACTCTGCAGTGAGTGTATAGGCTGCCATCAGGTAAAGCTGCTCCTCTCACTCTTACAGTGCTGCCTGGCCTGACATCCTATTAACAGATCATCACTGGGACCTTCACCTCTCCTGAGATTTTACAGTCTCTGTGGATGTTTAGAACTTGACCTTACTTTGTAATCCCCTGATCAGCTTGTGCCCTGTGTGGGGATCCTATCAGGATCATGAGTGCAAGGAAGGCTAACACATTCTTATTTCTCTGAAGGAGAAATAAGCTGCGTGTTCAGAAAGTTCACATCTCCTGTCTTCCAAACCTGCCAAATATTCTAAACACCTGCCAAATATTCTAAACAACAGTGGTAAAGACACTGAAATGCTCTTTCAGATGAAAGATGGTTAAGTACACCATTGCTCCTCCTCTAAACGAATCAGACACACAGTTCTTTCTGGGAAAAGTCTTTCAGGACTTGCATTACTACTGATAATTTTGATAAATAATGGAAAATGTTTTTAAATCTCTTCATCTACTTCTTGTTCCAAGGGAAAATATCCAGAAGACAAATGCTAATAAGATTGTGCCAGAGTGCAGATTTGCTGCATGAGGCAGAGTTCCTCTCACCTGTAAAGGTCTGTGATCTGCCCATTCCTCCAGCGATAGTACAGGTCGTTCAGCAGGCGCTCGTGCTGTCCGTACAAGCACAGGTAGTTGGAGACAGGAATGGGCTCCTTGGAAAAGCAGGTGATGCTGTCCACCATGTTGTACTTGCTGAAATGCATCCTGAAGTAGTTCCCATGTCCTGCCTCTCCAGTTATTATCTCTGTCCCCTGCAACAGAGAACACCAGAAAAGCTGTAGGGACAGAAGAAACACCAGAGCTGGCACGTGCACAGGGTCAGAGAGGGGCTCCCAGCCCACAGTTACCACTCCTTCAAACACACAGCCCTCTTTGTAAAGTCAACCATTCTTTGCACCGTGGATTATAAGGTACTTTGCTGTGGCTTGGACACAGAGTTTCCTGTGTAGTTTAGACCTACCCACCCAAATGTGCAGCACGGGCTGAATGCCACTGCAGACACTTGAGGGCATCTGGGCCCTCCAGCTGCACTGGCAGTGACACCAGATCCACAGGGCCCTGTGACCTCCTGGAGCAGCAGCTGGAGTCAGGAGGGATGCCGTGGGGCAGCCCAAACAACACTGCATGCCTCTGTTTGGGCAACTCAATTGAACTCTGTTCAGCCCCATTTATGACAGAGCACACACATGGCAGATCCTGCTTTACTGAGGATCCCGTCCTGAGGAATGAAGAACACATCAGCAGGCTTTTACTCTCTCGCCAGATTTATAACTACCCATCTGTATTTTTATACACATAAATATATGTATATGCAAACAGTGTAAGTGCAGAGTCCAAATTCGTGGGGTGTGGTAGAAGCTCCACGACTACAGGCAGGGGGTGACACTACCACATTAACCAGGTACAGGTGAACTCCAAAGCTGCAATTCAGATTTAACACATAGCAGTGAAGCATTTCTGGCTTTGTGTAACACGTTTCCCAGTAGTCAGAGGTGTGATGTGCTAGAACAGCTTTCCAGCAAGGGGAGAAATACCCAGAAGGATCTGCTCAGTTCCAGAACAAACCTACACACTACACAAACAGCACTGTGTACAGCTGGGGCCTCTGCCTAAGGAGGCTGCACTGGCTCTTAGGATGTTTCCTTCAGGTCATGTTCTAGACCATTAAATAGTAAATATAAAAACATACATGTGTGTACTCACTTATATATGTATATGTGTGTTCATACACACAAACACGTCTGTATAGGGTTTCAATTGCTCACACACCCAACTCTTGCTAATTATAATATAATAATACTAGGGCTGCCGTGTGTTGCCAACACCACCTCTACTGTCAATAAAATAACACAATTGAATGTTGATGCTCAAACTGTAGCATTTAACTTCAGCCACTTAAATCAATCACTTTGAAGACAAAAGTGTAAAAATTTGCTTCAAACTTGCCGCTGCAGTGGGATGATCACATAGCTTGAAGCTGGTTTTATAAGCTATATTCCTGTTCCAGTTTTATCCATTTCCACATCCTGTTGCTAGGCTACAGGAACCTTTGGTACTTCCACATCTCAGCTAACCTTTCACTAGCTTCTCTTACTCCTTCCTTAGGATATTCTTTTAGGATGTACGTGAAGTTTCTAGAGTGGCTTTAAAGATGGTCTCTTTTCAGGTAATCAGCAGGTAATCAAAGCAGCAGCAAAAGAATTCTAAGTGTGTTCTAGCAATTTGGAGTAACAAAACCAATTGCTCTCTCTGATGGTCCTTTCTGCTTTCCAGCACATCCTGCTTTGGATGGCTCATCCTGGATCTGGAAAACAAGGTGAACCATGCTTTGATTCCTCCCCCAAGCCATGGATTTCTTTTTAAAATCCAATTTCTTTCTATGGACCACCGCTGTCCAAGTTTTAAAGTGAACACTGAAGTAGCCTTTTAAAAGCTGCTCTTTAAACAACTGCAAGAATGGGCTTGATATAGAAATCCCTAAGGTAAAAGGTACAATCTATGTGAAACAGGAGCTTGCCTAGCTGGATGGTCCTCTCTGGCTTTAAAAGACATTAATCTAGTCCTCTTCTCGTCTCACAAGTCAGGTTCTCCAGGAGGAGAAGTGTCTCCATGTTTGTACCCTGGGACATTCTCCCATGTAGCCCAGTGTATGAAGTGGTTCCCTCCACCCTGTTCCAAGACAACCCTCGTGGCTGCAGGACTCACTGTTTCCTAGCAGTGAAGCACAGAGCGTCTCTTCCAGAGTAATTCCTACTAATCTAGAAATCAACTGAATTTCCCTGATAAACTGCCAAGTTTTATCATCCGTATGCATTTCCAGCACCATACTGCAGGGAGGAAAGAGGCTCAGCACTAAGGCTGAAAGCACAAAATCCAGCTAATACTGTCCTATGTCCTGTGCATAGAAATGGGGCTCAGAGAGGTCTGTAACTCACCCTGGCTCAGCAGCTGTACCTGGTGCATGCAGTGCCCGTAGGCTCAGATGACTGGACTGTGTCTAAGGCCCAGCTGATGGCAAACACACCACCCCTCGATGTGCCAGCGTTCAGTTTGTGCTGGCAACTGCCAGAAATACATCAACCCACACTTCCTCAAGGTACTTTGTCACAATTCAGGGTACTTGGGCAGGTACCTGCACTACCCTAACTAGGAACATCCTTCCAAACAGAGGATGAAACAAAGAAGTTCTGTTATTGAACTTACGTGGTCACACTGGGCAAGTTCTACGTCCAAGCGGATGGGAATTGCTGGTTTGGAGATGTGCAAGTAGTTATAACCTCCAGGAAGAACACCTCCTGCCAGAAATGAAAACGAGGTTTATGAAGTCATAAGCAGCGAAGCAAATAAAGTATTTGTTTGCCCTCCTTCTGCTGTCATCTTTTTCCACTACATAAGGAGCTCTGAGGGCTGTGTACTGCCATGAGATGGCACCTGAGGTGAGGTGGACCTGTCTGTACAATAGAACAGGGGATGGAAGTGTGACAAATCCAGTGGGACATACCTTTAACTTTACATCCTTTGTACATGGGGATGAGTCTGTCTGGGCCTTCTGGTGGCTCAGAATGGGGTTGAAGGGCTGGATCAAAGAGACTCAGCATGGATGCAGCAAGCTCAAAGCCAACCTCTTTGGAACTGAAGTTGCTGTGCGTCCATTCATCCCTACAGTATCTCCTGGAGAACTTTGTTAGAGGACCTGCAGCCCTGATGCTGACGTCATTGGTGCAGAACTTGGCATCAATCACGAGCCTTCCATCAAAAACAAGGCAAGCATCATTGACTGCCTTAAAGGTTTCATAATCCACTGCCTTGTAGGCAAAGCTAAAAAATGCCTAAAAAGAGATAGAAATAATTGTAGAGTATATTATGTATTATTTACTGGCTAATTTCATAAACCAAAATCCACACTTCATTCTGAATGTCATTTATTTTAAAAAACAAGAATAGAAAATAAAGTATGATTTTATATACACAGATAAATCATTCTGATCCGGCATTTACAGCTACCAAAATTAAAACAAAGACAGTAGAAAGGAGAATTACTAAACTAGACTCATCTGCTTCTGATTATTAGATGAGCTTTATTTTAAAAGCTCCAGTATTCGCCACATGTGAAACTGCTACGAGTGGCCATGGGTATTTTGTGTCAGTACAAGCACAGGACATAGATCTGAACCCTCTATGAAGTTGGTTTTCTTCTTTCAAATGCTCAAGCGAACCTGAAACCCCAAAGAATAGAGAAGCACAATGTACTTTGCATTTAGCAGGATAACTGTGTATTACAAATGTTTTCCCAACTGCTGAGCCTGTTTACCAACAAACCGAGTTACTCTGGCTGTCAGCACGAGGACAGTCGGTGAAATGGAAAGACCAGAAATTAAACTTGCTCAGAGGAAATGTCATCCTCATTCCAACTACAGCAGCATAATTTCAGCCAGTGGAAGCTGCAGAGTCCAAGGAGGTTGTGAGAAGTACAAGAGGACTGAACATTCAAAGGAACAGGAAAGCTTTCAGGTTTGTTATATTTGACAGTGTCATAGATTTCGGAAAGCACATCCAAACTTTGTCAGGACCGAAACACCTCTCTGACTGATCCAGACCTGGATCATACTTGCTTGAGGAGGCAGGCTGACCCGTGCCTCCCTAAAGCAGGGCACTGCTGTGCTCTCCAAGGCCAGGCACCAGGCTAGTTGTCCATCACGTCCAGCCGGATCACCCAGGCCAGCCCAGAGGAGGCTGCAGGGAAAGCATCTGGTACATTTGGCAGTCAGCTGCTGGGTCTGGTAATGAGCACAGCAGATACCTGTTTGGTATATTTTGTTTTGTGGGACTGAAAACAGATGGGACTTCCACTCTTTGGAAAGATGGCCTATACTGTCTTAGGCAACCTTATAGTCCTGGCCCTGAGGTAGGGAATTATCTTGGGATCAGCATCTACTGAAGTCACAAGCTCATCTTCCCCACAGGAAGATTTCAAGGACATTTAAAGAAAATCACCCTAAATCCCTCTTTTGAGTCTCAAAGAAAAAAGCTAGCGATAATTCCCTCCTTTTGTCTTCTCGTGGCACCTGCACAGTCGCTCTCCTGGGACACCAGGAAGCAGATCAGACAGACCCCACCTCCCCCAGAGAGGAGCACCGTGCCCAGCACTGCAGAGCAGGTGGTGCTGGAGCAGCCACCGGTCTGTCCCACATGGGGGGCACTGGAGAGGAACAGATGCACAGGCAGCACAGTTCCCAGGAGGGATCATGCCTGAGGAGCCGCTTTGAAACCCAGCACCACCCTCACCTCTGTCAGAGCCCTGTGAGAGCAGATGTGGGAGAAGCTGCAACTTCAGTGTCCTCAAAGCTGCCTCGTGCAAAGCTGACATAACATGGGCCCCAAGCAAGTGTAAAACAAGAGTGCACACTGGACACTGAGGGTTAAAAGGAACAAGAACAACAAGGCTGAGAGATGCTTTGAACAAGACCGTGCTCTGCAAAGGGCACCGATGAAGACTGACCATCACTAAAACAGTTTGTGAAGCTCCAGAGCCCTCACACAGAGCTTTCCCTTCCAGTGCTCTCAACTTTTAAAATCATTAGATGACAAGTCACGGGTTGCTGTCCCAAGAAATATTGCTGTACAGGCTGAGGAAAGGGTGGAAGCATGCATTCCCTTGCTGCCTTCATCCTCAACAGCCCAAGACATAACTCTGTCAGGACAAAGCAGCATCCATAACCTGTTCTCCCCTTAGTGCCAGCTCAGGGAGGACACAGCTGTGGCCTTGGTAAAGGTGTTACCCAGTTGTACCCCCAAAGAGCTTTCCTGGGGACTGAGTAAAGTGTCACATGCTCAAAGGCAGCTGGACGAGCCAGTTGGAAGAGAAGGCACAGGAGAGGGAGGCAAAGGAAATTTTAGCAACACTGGCACAGCAGAGATGCAGCAGCAGAGGAGCCAGAGCCCCTGGGCTTGTTCATAGATAAACCAAGTGATGAACTATGCACAGCTAAGGGAATTCTGACCATCTAGGAGAGCAAAATCAGGGAAGCTTTCCCCATGAGGGCAAGGGGACCACACAGCCCCATGTCGTGCCGGTTGACAGGCAGGACGGTGTCACCGGAGGGGAGGGGAGGGCTGCAACCTCCAGGCTGGGAGCCATCTGTCAGCCCAGGCAGGAGGGAGGGAGGCTGCTGCTTTAGGCAAAGAGGAGATTTTCTCCCGTTGTTTTTATCCTGCAGGACTCAACAAATTAAGCCCCCAAGAACTGCCACTCAACAGTTGATACTGGCTCAAATCCCAAAAGGCTGATTCCTACACAGCCTGGTCTCTGGTGAGCGCAGCTGCCTTCCTGGCAGAGGCTGCTCTCTGGAGCCTGGCATCCTCCGAGCCCGGCCTCCCAGGCAGCTCGAGCCTTGCAAGGCAGCTCAACTGCTCTGGGAGAATATAAAGCCCCTGACATCCATCTCCCATCTTGGAGGCTGGAGAAGAGAGATCTTGACAGGGAAGGACCACGGCTGGAAGAAGAACGAGCAGGGACACAAATGAGCAAAAGAAACAAACCCTAAGGCAAGGGGGGTTTGAGGGAACAGGCACATGGGCCAGGTGGTAGGGGAAAGAGGAGGGGCTGATGGGGAGGTGGAAAGTGCATACCAAGTTACAAGAATGAGAATCACATTGAGATATCCGTGGAAGAATGATAAGAATGGAGGAGTTTCAGGGAAAGAAGAGAGAACTTGAAGAGCTGCATATGAGAAGAGCAGGAGAAACGTCACTACTGACATGGAGACCAAAGTCAGGAGACCACTGTGGGTAAAAGAGCTGTGCGAGGTTTTCACCCTGATCAGGAAGGGTTCAACTATCCATGTGCTAAAAAGAGAAGGGTTGCAGTGTGGGGGAACCAGCAGGGACCCCGACACCTGGGAAGCTCTCCGGGAGAGGCACACGGCTTGTCCTTTCCACAGTGACAGCCGCTCCTGCACAAAGCAGTGGGCTCACAGCAGGGTGTGCAGGGCAGGACGGCAGCTCCCCGTGGAGGGAGGTTCTGAAGTGACCACCGCAAGTGCTCGCTCCTGTGGATTAGCCCAATGAAGGAAAACAGAACAATCCTGACCTTTAGGAACAGCCTAGACCTGTCCCCAGGTACAGAGCAGAGCCACACCTGTGAGTGTGCCCATAGCTTCAATAAGATAGTGGTACTGGAGCTGAACAGAACTGCACTCATTGATAAAGGGAGAGAAATCTGCTAAAAATATGTTTTCATTAAGTGACATAGTAGGCCTCTTTATCCTCATGTTTTTGGCTTCTACTGTGACTTAATCAAGTGCACAAAATATGGACAAGAGTAACTGCACACATTTAAATAAGGAAAGGTTTTCTGGAATTGCTTAGAAAATTAATTAAGAGTATTTGTCACTCAGCAGCAAACTACTACTTGTGTGTCAGGTGACTTAAATACATTTTAATCCAAATCAGTCAGGGCATTAACAATGGGTTTATTTGGATTTTTAGAAAGCCAATCCTTGAGACTAACAAGTGAACGTTCAATCTCCTAGAGATAATGAGAAACAGATAAATCAGTGAGGGACTATCTAAATTCGATGGCCTTTGTCTGAAGGGAATGCACTGGAGGCACACACTTACTGAGCACTGCAGTTTCAGCGGGTTTGTGGCAGTGGTGAAGGCAGCCCAGGTGATCAGCTCTGGGTCGCTGCCCTCGCCCCACTGTGCCAGGACGCTGTCCCCGTGCACGGCCACGCCCGCCTGCGCCAGGGCCCCCCGCACTGCGCCCTCCACCTCGGCGTTGTTCACACAGGTGACATCCGAGCTGAGCGGGGGCTGCACGAGGTGGATGCGAGAACCAGCAATTCCGAGAGACAAGAGCGTTTCTACTGTGGTGTAAATGTCAATTGTATTGCCATAGACAATGACGTTCCCTAAGAGGAAAGAAAAGGGGGGGAAATTTCTAAGACATACAATGAAAAGCTTATTAGGATAACTCAGATGATAATAACGTGAAATTGCTCTATTTGACCCTCTTATTTCTCTGATGCTATGAAGCAAACAATGTTACCTAGCAACAGCAGCTAAGATAATTTAGCAAAGAATCTGTACAAAACATCCCACAAAGTAGGCAAGTACTTAACACAGAAGTATGACATTCATCCTGACCCCATAATTTGAAATTATTTTGATTGAAAAGCCTCTAGGGGCAAAAAAAAAAAAAAAAACACAGAATTTTTTTGTTCTCTCTCCTCAATTTTGCTCATTCAAAGGACTGATGGAGGAGGGAGCAGACAGGAGCAAATTAAATACATGATGCAGAAAAACCCCACGAGCTGTGGAAAGGTCAAGCTGTAGAAAACAAGCCTTTCTGCCACATGGCCATCAGTGCTGTGGCTTCCTTCTGCCAAAGCCTGATCTCCAGAGAATGGGGACAGTCCTGCAGACATTCCCCGTCCCACCACCACGGCAGGGAGAGCTCTGCACCACTCACTCTCTCAAGGCAGTTGCCTCCTTTCCTCACGCAAGCTCTAGGCCAGCCAGACTCCATCCCTCCTCACTGCTGGGAAGTCAGCAAGCTGGATGCAGACATCTGATCAGCTGCTGTGACAGCAGTGTGTGGGTACTGCTGCTCCTTCTGCAGAAACCACTCCTAAAACCAGCTCCATCTTCCCACCCTGGGCACCCAACGTAACACACACCTCCCACCTGCCACTGCAGAGCTGCAGGGCAGGGCCTTGCACGGTCTCCTCCTGAACTGGTGCCACTTCAAAGGGCACAGTCAGAGCTGAGCAGCAATCCATGGGCATGGGAGAGTTCTGTTCTGTGTGAACACAACAGCACCCTCCAGCCTAACAACTACAGCCCTCCTGGCGATAAGGGAGGCAGAGCTGGGATGCATCGAAGCAGCTGCGTGTTTTATCTCAGGATGGTTTAATATAAAGCACACAAACGTTCCTCTGAGCAGGGACTGAAGCACACTCCTCTCCTGCCCATTCCCTCTGCCCCACTGCTTGGAATAGGAGCCGTTTCTCTGCTTGAGTAATCCAGGCAGAAGGGCCCAGATGTCATACGACAGGCTGGGAACTCCTGTCCTGGGAGCTAAGGACCCTTCCCACGAGGGTCACAGCCCAGCTCCAGCCAAGCACAGGAGGGCTGAGCCAGGCCTGCCAGCTCCTCTGTGCCCATCTGCCCACCAAGCTCTACTTGCCTGCCAGAGTCCACACCAGCTCCTGTGTACTGGGTGGCTCAGGACGAGGATCTGACCTGCCAGCACGGGGATGCATTAACAGCACATTCCTAGTGCTTTAATGTCCCATACCTGGGCAGTGCTGCAACTGACTTGTACATTTATCTCAGCACTGGCATTTATGTCTCGCCATAAGTGACAGCATCCCCTATACATAAATTGCATTATTTACAGGCTAAGCTGATTTCACTGGGACCATGTTTTACTGCACGAGACACAGGGCAATACTAAACTGAGCATGCAACAGCCCAAGCTCCCAAGAATATTAATGATAAAAATGTTAACAGATGTTCTACCATTCCCCTTTGATTACAAGGTTATTTTATTTGTCCCAATCAGTTCAGCTATTCGTAGCTGCCAAATAAAGATCTCTCTTCATAGCTGCCAGAGAACAGAATTGCCCCATGAGTACCCTGCTCAGAAATTATGGAAAATGTGTTTTTACTGTTCACAGAAATGACCAGGGGAACAGAACAATTTTACCTGCAAATGTACCCATTTGAAATCATAAGAAGAAAGACCTTACTACTTCCATAAATATCATAAAGAACAAGAGAATTCTGCCCCACGTGTCCCTCACTGAGCTGACTTTCCGAGCCAGAAGAACCCAGTCCATGGCTCGTGCCTGCCAGGACACCTGTCTGCAGGCAGTACTGGCCTCAGGAAAGGTCCAGAGAGAAGACAGACATAAAACTGACCATTTTTCCGCTGCTGCAGCAAGGTACAATGCAGGAAGCAATGAGGCAGAACCTGGGGTGAAAGAGCAGCTTTGCTATACTCATTTTTAGTTCCCCAACCTGCTGACAGTGCAGGCAAGGAGGAGGTGTGCAGGTGCTGACAGCCTCATGCTGTGTTTACACACTTTAGATTTGTGAGGAGTAAAACACCAGGAGCTGAAGAGGCTCCAGTGGCTGGGAAAGGAGGATGAGGAGGGTTTCCCAGAGGCATGGCCCGGCAAAGCTCCACTCTGACTCTGGGGCAAGGCTGGGCTGAGACACCTTTGCCATTTGGCAGCACCAGTCGCCTCAGAGGGAAGCTCAGTTGTTGCATTAGACACTGGCATTTAGGGACATACAAGATCAGATTCAAGCCCCACATTTGTCATGGAAAATTAAAATTCTGTTTTATATGGTAATATTAAATACAACTGCATTAGATCAGGGAAAGCAGTGCTCCTTTACTGACCTCTTGTAAATCAGCAATTTACTGCTTCTGCTTATTACAATATTAGTGGCTTTTTAGATGACAGTGCTAGTAGTCTAAGAACTACAGATATTCATTATGGACTGAAATTATGTCCACTGGAAAGAGAGCAGTTCCTCAGGATGCTTTTATTATTTAACTACATGAAAATGTATCTGAGTAAACATAATAATCTTTCACGGAAAAAGCAGCCATAAATAAAGATCATTACAGTAGTTTTATCATTTATTACCCGAGTGTCAGCATCCTGCTGCAGAGCAGACCCATTCATTTTCCACCAGTGGAAGCACAAGATTTCGGTGACCCCAGCACGACCTGAATCTTTGCAGTTTGCAAAAGCTAAAGGAGAAACCCGGTATGAACTAAAGCATCAGTGGCTTTGGTAGGTGATTCATGCACCGGAATTTTAATGCGAGAGTACTCCTACAAACACGCTTTTAATAAGGCAGTAAACTACGCTTAGGTATAGAGAAAAAATAATTGCCCCATTTTGGGCCATTAAAGCAGTTTTGTTCCTTACTTTACTTCCATCCTACTTTTTATTTTGGTGGAAAGTGCAGAGCTAATAGGAGCTGAATTTCAATTAGTGACCATTACAGCTGTCACAGGTTCTGTGCATCAGGCAGTTGGGTTTCAGCAGCAGCAGCCCCGGGGCCAGGGCTCGCCCTGCTCCAGGGCTGGCCACAGGAACACCAACAGGTGTGATCCTTGCACCACACCACATCACCACCAGGTCTCCTGACACTCTACCGACAGGAGAGGTCACACACATCTTCAGGGAAGCCCTTGCGACGGGAACTCCCCAGAGACAGCTCTCCTGCTCTGAAGTGCCGCTGGCAGGAGCTGGCACAACAGGAACTCACTGCCTGCCTGCCTGCCTCTGTTTCTGCAGTTCAGCGCTGACTCGGAAGCCTGGTTGATCCCAGCTATTTTCAGTAGCAAACACAGTGGATGAACTAACGAATACGTGAACAGAGTGCATGTAACAGGGCTGAGGAAATACAGGGATGGGGGACATCTAAACAAATGTCTGATTTTAAGGGTTACTAAGAGAATACCAGGAGCTTGCAGTTCTCTGTGAAAATCTGTAATAGTGCAACTGAATACAGTGCTGACAGGGACTTCCTGATTAAGACCTGTTTTCTTTGTGTAACACCACAAATCTAGGTATTTTTCTATATGACAGAAAAACACATCCACTAATTAAGTTATTATTTAATTGGCTAATTAATGACTCCAGCCAGATTTGCATTTAGGACTCATTTTGTTTTATGTAATAATAACTGCAGATAATTAATCTATCTCAAGCCTTTCTTTCCTAGCTAAATATGTTGGGTATCAAAAATGACAACAAATTGTAAATTAATCTGGAAAACAAAGCACAGCAGATGAAAGACTTTGTTAGAATTAATCAGGCACCAATTATACCATGGAATTTAGGAAACATTTCTGTAAGTGTGCACATGCTAAAGCCCCTTACCTCTGGACATGACAAGGTTTTCCTCCAGCCAGCGTGCCGCCTGCAAGCAATCCTGCTCATCGTTGAGAGTGAAGTGATTGGAAGGGATTTTCCCCGTGTATCTCTGTGGCCACTCACTCATGACTTTGCTGTCAGTTGGGAGTTTGATATCTGCTCCAGTGGGAGCCAGGGCCTGGGAGAGATGAATTGGTGAGCAAATGGTTATCTGGCACAGACCTTGGAGACATTGAAAGACAATGACGCACTCACTTTGAATACTTCAGGCTGCTGGCCCTGCACACCCCAACCCTCCTTCACACTCAGCAGCAGCAAACACACCCGTGGGCACAGAGCAGGGATTCCTGCTGAGCTGAGTTCACACATGTATTCCCTGTTTCCTGTGGGTTGTGGGTGACCATTTAAAACAGCAGTGCCAGTACAAGTGGAAGCACACGGCAAATACCACAGACTGCACAGCAAACAGCAGAAATACCCCAACACAGCTAAGGGATCTCTGCAGTTCTCTGAATAACAAATAACTTGAAAAGGAGATTCTTTGTTAACTCACACTGCCTCCACCTTTTCTCAGCAAAATCACCTTTCTAAAAAAAGAGATTTTGTCCCAGAGAAAGGGGCAAAACCCTGCTTGATGGTTCAAGTGCCACGACTCAGTACCACGTTCACTGTATAATGCTGCTTTACAGTAACAAACTCCATCTGAATTACACAAAGCAAAAAGGGAGCTCAGCTTGATTCCACATCTTACATGCAGCTGAGGGTCTGCTTCAGCCTCAGTGCAAACTCAACTTGGGTGCTACGATACCAAGCAGCATCACGGACATGCCTAGGCACGGTCATCACGTGAGATGAGCAATTAATTTGATAAGGAATTCTCTCTGTTGCCAAAACTAGGTCAAATAGTGTTAGACCAGCTGGAGTTCAGTCTCCTGTGGTTGGGGCCACATGTCAACTGGGCCTCCTCTCAGCAGGTTTCATGGTCACAGTGTCAAAAACACCAGCAGCTTTGCTCCATCCCCAATCCTGAGCAGTGCCATTGCTGGTGGGAAGTTGTGTCCAACCCCTCCTCTCCTCTGAGCTCGACAGCGGCACCGACACAGCCCAACGCTGCACTGAAGGGCTGCAAACTGCCCGAAGCTACCCTTGCTAAGGCCTGCTCTGCTAATGCCAGGAACACCATGCCCTGGAGGCACTGGGAATGCTGCGCTGGTTTTCACTCTGCCCAACACCTCACCTGGTAGGTCTGTCCCGTGCACAGGACCAGGTAGTCGTACGGTACTTTCTTCTCCTCGGAAACAACCACGTATTTGGCAGCACGATTTATGCCAGTCATTTTGCCAACTACAACGTTAACCCAGGAACAAAGTGACATCTGTGCATAATCTTCATCATTAAAACAGTGGCTGTGAAGAAAGAATATCTGTAAGTGACATTTCAGCAGCTGACAGCAGGCATTAATTAGACATCTGGTGAGCTCGGCCACGGCCCTCAGTGGTTCTGCCTGCTCCCTCACTGTGAGTTTGCCACAGTCTACAGTAAAAGACCAGTCATTATGAAATACTCAGTTACAAATTGTCAACTTTCTGCTGAAACCAAACAATCCCTCCCAGCACTGGGCCATACAACCACATAATTTAAGAACAAAGTCAGAAATACACGCTTTACTCTGCCCTTGCTTTGCAGGCTGATGAGAGGAGGAGGCTTTTGCACCTGCAAAGAAAACACTTTAACGGCCCAACTCTTTCTCCAAGACGAGTCTCTCTCATTCAGCTTTTTCCCCCTTTTCCCTGCCTTTTCTATTCAGCTTCACCAGTCATGGCTGGGGAGAGATAAATGCAGGGAAGGCATCACTAGCATTTTAGCATCTGTGTTCCAAAGTGTTAGTCCAAAAAGTTTAAAAATTAATAAAAAGCTATGAAAATGGTTGTGAGGGAAAGGCAGAGGTCTCAAAACTCCTGTTGGTGACCCTTTTACAAATGAACTTCTCCACAGTGCAAGAATGACAAATTCTGAGAGCATACTAAACTGTTCTCTATCCCAAACTTTCAAAAGCCTCCAGGATGCAACTGAACTCCTCTGCGATGGTCAGGGTGTGCACAGAGCACACATTACAGGCACCACTTTCTGCCACAAGCTCAAATGTGATTCAGGAAAGGGGCTGGGCTGGAGCCTCTGCTGCCTTTCTGTGGCACCGGCGGCTGCAGCAGAGAGCACAGGCAGAGACCAGCAGTGCCAGGGTGCGCATCCTAACCCAGAGCAGACTGCTGCACCTTAACTGTTGTTACCCACTTCCCAAAACTGCCCTTCAGGCTGCCACAGGAACAAACACAGTTGCTTGCATGACCTGGAGAATTTTAAGACTGGACTGTCAGGCTTTCTGAGGTGCTCTGCATCCTCTGCACTCACAGATACCAGAGATAAATGAATGAGAACCATTGACAATTCTGAACTGTAATCATGCAGAAATCTATAAATAAGGTGGACATCAAAGACAGGGAAGGGTTTTCAAAAGCACCCTCATAATTGAGGTGTGCAGCTCCCAGGAGACTGACACTCCAAAATCACAGGGATGCTTTCAGAAATCATACCCTGCAGAGTTCAATTTTCACTCTTAATCTGCTTTCAGATTTTAACAGCTAAATCTGGTGAGGCAGCTCTAAACCACAACTTTCCATCAGGCAGGCTGCTTTGTCAGTACAACTGTTTTTTTACAGTGCACTTAGGAAAAAGAGTACATGCATTTATGTGAGCATATAACCCCTGCATTTGCTAGATTTGTACTTAAACACACTTCTTTCTACAGTAAAAAAATTAGTTCAGGTAACTACTTATAAAAAACTTCTTGGCAAGTCAAAATACAAAATGAGATCAGGTGGTTTTAAACAGGTTCCCATCACATAATTTTCACATTTGTAGCGATTTCATTTGTAAGGTTCAGCAAGCAGACATGGAGTTATTTTGTCCTTTAAAGAGCCAGCCCTCTAGTGCACTGCTGCTCACTGAGGAAAAGATTTGGTAAAATACAATGTGGAGGCTCCAAAGAGTCACATGACAAAGCTAAATAACTTACACTAAGTTCATTTCCCAGCTATTCAGAATAAACAATCCATTTTAATTCCTTGCTTCTCAAAGCCCAGAACAGTCATGTTCCTGTCTACAGGGAGGACTTCTAGTCACTATTCCAAAATAAAAAGTAAAGCCATCAAAACAAACCCAGTGTATTTAAGTGAGAATTATGTTCTGTGAATTTTAATGAGGTAACATTTTATCCTACTAACCAGAAGATATTTTATAGTGTCTGACAGTCCCTAGACACTGGCAGGGCTCTCACCACCTTCCCTTCAGCTGTTGTACAGCAGCCCCAGCTCTGGGACCACATGGATGAATACATTGCTGTGGCTGGGACTGGGCACAGACTGTCACAGCCCAGGGACTGGCACACACCGCCCGTAAGCAGAACTGATGCAACGCAGTTCTGCCAAATTGATCCACAGCAACAACCCTAAAATATCCCCCTGTACTCCACTACCATCAGTGGGCTCTGCATCTCACCACATGCTGCTCTAAGTCAGTCACTGGTCATTTTACTAATATTAATTCTTGTACATTCTTTGCTGCAGCATTATTTGGAACAAAATCCATGGAAGTCAAAACCCAAGTAAGATTTAAAGAGCAAGTAGACATCTTCTGTCATTTAACCTGGGATAAAACAATCAAAAAAGCCTTGGAAGGCAATGGATTGCTGTCCAGAAGTTACTGCTTTGGCACTCTTTCCCTACTCATAGTTCTACCCAACTCCTCCAGGTGAGTGCCTGCTGGATAGACAGCCTGGAGTATTTTGGGGCTGACTGTGGATCCAGCTAACATTTTGGACACGTTCACAAAAATTACAAGGTGCTGTGTTTTCTGCTGGAGCTATGTAAGTGTTTAGATGTGAAGTCAAACCTGTGAATTAAAAATCTTCTATGCTTAGAGCCTGGTGGATCCTTTCCTGGAAGGCCATGAACTGAAATCAAGGTCAGGTTGTTAAACTTCAGACGCGGCCTGTGGAAAGAAAAAACAAACAGCCCCATGTAGACAGAAATTCCAAGGGCACGTCAGAGGAGCAGAACAGCTCACAACTCCTTGTTCAGGAGGGTGCAGAAAGCAATTCCTTCACACAAGCACAAAGTGTTTGGTCATTTTGCTCAGATACAGGTGTCTCTGCATACAAGAAGAACAACTTCCACTGCAGTTTCAGTAACACTGGGGGGGGGGGGACAAGACTAACAGTATGTTGAATTAAATGTGATCTGACATTTAAAAACAAATAAATATTATGAGTGATTAAGCCTTCTAATCTTCAAGGCTTTCTGTAAGTTAAGGATGGACTGATGCAAATGGTACAAAGGAATCAGAATGTTTTTTATCAACCAATGTTAATTTGTTATTCATACATTTAAAAAATATATTCAAACAAAGTTAAAGGTCATACTTAAACCAAGGAATTTCAAGGTTATGGCTGGCCCTCTCAAAATGCATATTAATAGTTTAATTCTGGATTATGGATTATCTGTGGTAAATCTCCATGCATACTCAGGCCTAGCACAAAGTAATAAATAACCTTAATGTAACAAAGTGCATATATTTATACAGATTATGGGCCTGATTCTCATTTAAATTAAGGTCACTCTGCAGAGGTGGGTGTAAATAGAATTTGCTCTTCATTTATGGCCACATTATGCTGGCTGAGTGATACAAAAGGGTCTTCATGTAAATGAAGTGAGCCCGATCCACGAAGCTGAACGTGGAGCGCACAGAGCCATGCCATCTGCACGCAGGGAGCGCTGCTCGTGGGGTGCAAGCAGAACAGCTACAGGAACCTGACACGCTGACACAGCAGGACTCCTCGACAGTTAGTTTGTTTACCTGGGATTAATTACATAAACACCCCAGATATCCTCCTGTCCTCCTGCCCTCGCGGCAAGGAGGTTTCCTTTCAGCGTGGGGCTCAAATCATCTCTGTACACACTGCATGGCCTCTTGCCAACAGGTCTCCAAACCCAGGTGCTACAGTTACAGCAGGTTTCAATTACATCAACAATATTTAGGACGAATACATTGCAAGCAAGCATCAGAAACATGACAGAATGAAGGTCTGAGGCAACATTAACGTGCCTCTTTTGCACGAGTGCACTATGATGCACTTTATTGATCTGCTCACATACCATTTTCCTCTGCAGATGCTCTACCTCTATTGAGTCCACACACCCTCATCCAGGATTTCCCCAGTCAGATGGTATTTGTTCCCTGCTTCCCCATTGAGCGGGAGGCTTCAATTCAGACCTTTCACTCAGTATGATTTACTAACTAATGATTTACTTCTCCCTCAGCGCTCCCATGGCATCCCCATATGCCCCAAACATTAATTCATGTTTCCCATTCATTCATCTCGAAGGCATCAAAATGTTGATTAGCATCTCCTTAGCACACTGGGATGAAATGAGTCATATCTTTGGTTCCCACTTTACACTGAGAAAAGCCAAGGCTCGAAGCGCTCTGGCTGAGCTGCCCAGAGTGGTGCCGATGCCAGGGGCAGGATGCAGAGAGCTCGGGGCTGGTACCCGCCCTGCCCGTGCTCCAAGTGCTGCCCAGCTCCGGGCACAGCTCTGTGCAAGCAGCAGTCCTGTCTTCAATGGAGCAAAGTGCTTCTGCTGAGTGTCAGATTTGTTCTGTGCTTAGGCACAGGCTGCCGTTTGTGAAATTGATCAGAATCTGTAAATAAGTAACTGTAGCTACAATGCCTAACCCCAGGATTTCCAATACATTCACAGGTCCACAGGCACTTCAGTCCAGGCCTGAACACTGGAGGGGAGCTGCAGTGCTCAGTCACAGCTCCTGCCGGCCACTGGCAGAGTCACCACAAGGTGACAGGTTGGGTTGTGACCAGCTCACTCTACACCATCCTCCCCTTTGCTCCACAGAGCTTTGTTATTTCTAGGCTAACAAAAGGATGGCTTATTTACTGCAGCTTTTGATTCCTTACTGCTGCCTAAAAGCTCTTAATAAGTGAAAAACAACCAAAGCTCTGGACACAGGTACTGGGTGTCAGGAGAGAGAATGACTTGTACAGTGCTAATAAATATAACAATGCCTGACATGAAACAGGGCAGAGCAGAGGTTCCTATTTGGTGAAGAAGTCTTCAAGTTAAGAGCCTGAACCAGTGCAACATTAAACAAGTGCACCTGCATTTCAGAAGCAAATAATTCCAGCAGGGATTCACGTTGCTGTGGATACAGAGGGAAGAACAGCTCAAAGATACTGTTAAAGCAGGGAGGGATTAGAGTATCTAGGGAAATAAGTAAAAGGTGTTGGGTTTCAGGGCACAGCTCTAGAGGCAGGCTACCAAAAAAAAAAAAAAGTCAAAACACCCTTGTCCTCAGAATAATACAGGGTTGTCAATTTACTGTGAGAATAATCAAAGGGACAAACACAAAAGTTTTAGTACAGTATTTACATATATCCTGTTGTTGTAAATCTGTTAGAATATTCCTTGCTTGGTTTTCTGGATTTTTGCCTGATGTCTTGCTGGCTTTTTTTTCCCTTCTGTGTGCAGAATAATGATGGAGGCTTAGATGATGGAAACTGCCTGAACAAATAATTTAATCAATTGCTTTCATTAAGCTCCTCGTTATCACAATAAGTCACATCACTTTTGTTACAAAAAAATAAAGTGCAATAAAGTAGTTCCCATGAACCTAAACATATCAATTTATTTGAAATAATGCATTTTTTAAAATTACTTCTCTGGTAATTTATAAAATCTAAAATAAAAAAGGGTGACAGAAGATAATGCTTTATCTGGCTCTCAAAATTGGTTACTATGTACACTGTTCTGCTGTATACATAATCTTCAAAGGATAGTATCTGGAGCTATAGCCTATCCAAAAGTAAAATCCTAACGCCACTTGGATTCTTAGCTTCACTGTAACAGAGCCCTTGCAAAAATCACATCTTGAGATAGTTCTGAAAATGGCAAAAAAATAGTCTTATTTCAGCACTAAATGCTGAAAATTGCAATGTGAAAGTCTTGCATTAACAAAACTTCAAAATCAAAGACCTGTCCTGAAACCAAAAAAGGAACCTTGAGAGCCCAGAGTGAGAGGTGATGATAAGAGTCCCAGCAAGCAACACCCTGGTGTTCAAGGCACAGAAACTCAGCGTGCCCAGCTGTCAGTCCCACCGAGCAGGGCAGATGCAGACAGCAATTTCCCTCTTACCCCAAATATAACCATTTATCCAAAGCAGGACCCCTTTGTCAGGAAACATTTCAAGAACTCAGCAATCAGGATTGGACTTGGAGAATGGACTTTGGACACCCTAGCAAGAATCCATTAAAAAACCTAGAGAATATTTCCTTAACCCTTTGACTAACACCCTTCAAGGATGCTGGGAGTGCTTCTCTCCACCCCACCCTCCTCAACGTTATTATCCCACTGAATCCAAACACAGCCCTGTACCAGTTACGTGAAAGAAAATGAACTCTCCCAGCCAAAAGCAGGGCAATCCTGTGCCAGAAGCTGTTCCTCTCCAGTTCAATTTGGCTTCTCCCTCTTCCCCCTTTAAGTGATCAGTCCTGAATTTCCTTCTGTGGGGTTTTACTGCTTGTCTCTCTCATCCTCTGGACTGACCCTTTTCCTAGAGAATATAACTAAACACATCAGCAACTCTGACTCTGCTACCTTCCAATTCTTTTATTAATTCCTCCTTTTTTAGACAGCTTTATAGCACTCCACAATCTTGATTTCTCTCTGTTACCAAATGTGTCTTTCTAGTTTCTTCTTTCAAACTCCCACCCATCTCAGCTCATTTCTCTGAAACATCTCAGCCTCCTCCTGTGGCTGTCACTGCTTTTGTCCTTCCAGCCGCCTTTCACTGCCCAGCAACTGGTTTTGCTTTCCTCACCTGTGTCATTTTTCCCATCCTTTTTTGCACCATTCTTCTTCCAGTGATTGTGGCTCTACAAAGTAATTCAGTTGAGTCTTTTTCCTTTGTTAGACTAATCCTTTTCTGCACTTTTCCTCTCAACCCATACTGACCTTGGCAATTTTACCACTAAGCTCTTCTCCCTCCCTCACCCACCTTGTTACATTTTCTCCCAAGCCTCTGACAAGGTGCCCCCAGGCTTTGAGTGTGCTGATCCCTGAGTACACTCAAGTGCAGCACTTACCAGCAAACTTTTAACACCGCACAAACAAGGGCCAAGTACCTGTTTATTCACATATTTGCTTATTTCCTTCCTTGGTCCAGCATCACCTCAGGCTCAAACACAAACTGCCTCACCACTCTGCACTGAACAGTACTGTGAGCACACAGTCAATTTTTGTAGCACACTACAGACCACACGAGGACTCATCTGACAGAGCTACACATTTCTTAGGTGGCTCTTCCAAAAACTTAGAGGATCCTGTCGAGATCTGTGGCATTTCCAGGTTCTAGCTTATTAAAATCAGTGTGGCCAAGTCCTTACAGTCTGAATTGCTCAGAACAGGGAAACATAAAGAGCTCTTTCCTTGGCCCATGCAAAATACATGGCTAATCAGACCCACCCATAGCCTTGTGTGGGGTCATTCACAGCTACAGAGTTCACGAGGGCAGCCCTACCATCCCAAATCTAAGGCAGCTTTGAGTCTGACCAAATCAAAATACCATCCAACCACTGCTTCAGTGAGAGCACTTCCTTCCTAAAATTTCAGTTTCCATTCCACAAGTGTTCCAGCATTTCATCCTGTTCAAAAAGGGCAATTATTTTTCTAGACAGAAAATGAGGGTTATCTGATGGCCTAGGTAGTTACCGTCTCTCACTGTTTAATTGCCTGGCAGATTCCAAACCACAGTTGAGAGGCATCATCTCCATTTTCCACAAATACAGGTACCATAAATTGGGCAGTAAAACTACAGTGTGGTTGAAATTTCGTTGGTTTGCCTGCTGCTGGGTGAGTGCTTCAGTGAATAACACAGTGCAAATCCCAGCTTGTTAATAGGACACTTTTAACATTCTTGA